AACATGACCAAAATTACACTTTCATGAGTTACACATATCTTCAGTTTACCTCATATCTCCAAAACCACATTAATTATTATTATTACTGAACTAACTCCACAAGACATTGCATACCAGATTCATACCGGTACAAAACAACGTTGATATTAAAAATACTTTGCATTGTTCGTCTAACAGCGGCTTTCATCTCGACGACACTGCTGGGACAAGTTGGAACAATAAATTTCAACTCACATGTGGAAGTGCAACAAAATGGTCCATTGACGACATACGCTACAACTCTTGTTATAAACTACGGCCTTTCTGTATAAAGGAAACTAGTTTTAAAAGTTATGATGTTGATGATTGTTCTTGAGTCAGAGTTTTATATTACATTACTTTTATTATTGGTTACTTGACTGCCTCATTTGGCGAGTGGTCGCAAGTGCGTCGAGAAAGGGGTCTAGGGCCGGGTCGGGCAAAGTATTACTGGGTTTTAAAAAAAATTCAGTAGTAGCACGGAGCCTGGAAATGTGCCCGGTATATGGCAATAGGCTCACCTCCTATTACACGAGACTCATAAGATAAATAGTCAAAAGTGGGTGTTACATTGTTTAGTGAAATTAAGTGCTGTAATGTGCACGTCTGTCTAAATCTTCGAGGATAAAACGCGTGATGTTATGTTGTTATTAGTTATTTATACAATGAAACTAGAATCATCTTTAAGTTTTTAACCCAGAAACACACTAAGCAGTACTGATCCTATTTAATCATAGGGTACTTACGTTTCTATGATAACCTGTGCATCAATGATTTGACTATGATTCCATTTTAACAATAGATTTTATCATTTTGGCTCAACTCAACCCATTTCTTTTCTCACAAAGCTTATCTATTTCATACTTCAATGTTCATTTCAAAGTTAGACCTTTTGATACATTATACAGAAACTTTTTTCTGTAATGGAGACGCCATTATGTGAACGGGCGAGTTTCTCAGGATTAGCTCCATGCCTTTATTCTGGTCTTCGAACAGCGCGTAGTAAGAATCGCGACTTTTTTGCCCATATTTCGAGATCAGTGATTTCGATGCAATATTCTCTTGATGGGCATAAAGTTACCTGATTTTGATAGTAAAAACTGGCGCCGTTGAATATGTATGTTAGGCATTGTGAGTTTTTTCTCACGTATTCATTAACCTTTTACTGTGACAGACAGGCAATTTGAATCGCAAATATTTCCCTTAGTAACCTTCCTGGCTTAAAATATTCTACAACATGAAAGCTAAATTATATTCCCAGTCGTGCCCTTTTTTTGCAATATTTGTAGCTCATTTTACATACGAAACCGACACTGGGTGCCATAAAAAACCCGTTCATCGATTAAAAGTTCCGGTGTACTTCATATACCGATACGAACTTCATTATAAAGAGGTTAATTATTTTTAATACTCATTCCGCCACTTGAGAAATTTTAAATTTTGTTTCGGATGTGCAGAACACAATCCGGATACACGAACGATCAATGAATTCCCAAAATAAATGATACCATACGAATCGATATGTGAATGAACTTGATCGAAGTTTTCAACCAAACTCTTGTTCAGTTCAAACAGGATGCATCTAAGTAGATTAGATAAAAGTATCAAACTGGCTCCTTGTGCTGCGGTTTCTTAAGTATTACTGGTATTACCATCGAAAATATCGCTCCATTTGTTTATAACGACTATGGACAAAGCGGTTTCGACTTCCTCTCAATAAGTGGATAATGATCTGTTATCTCGTTTTGCTCGAACACCGCAATTGGTAGTTTTTGTACCTAGTTGCCTTTCCGTTCTGTTTCGTAGTTGCCAAGAAAAATAGAAAATTACATATTTTTAACTGCTTTTACTGTTATCTGTGTTTTCATCGTTATTCTTAAACACTGTTTTAGAAATAGAATTTGTGCTGACATCATTGGTATCAGGGCAACATGTTTGGTATTTCAAGAAATATACATCTAAAACATCTTGTAGTAGTGTTAGAAAAATGAATTGCGAAAGTTTAATTAGGAGTAAAGCAAAAAATGGTGCCCGAAACTAGAGTTATTGCTTCCTTTAATTATAAATTTATCGCTGTCATGTGCGATCAAACTTAATTGTGTTCGATCGGCTTTATTGAGTTTATCTCTAGGATAATAATTTATGTAATTATATTTAGCCAATGACTCGTGTTATGATAAAAACTTGGAGGCGTCGAGACATTTAAATCCGAGGGTCAACGACCAATGATTGTTTGAATACTTCAAATGCGTTCAATGTCGCCTCTGAACAGTAGAGAAATTTTGCAACAACCTTTTATTATATTCGTCTGGCAATAAAGTCGTTTTAGTCCGAAGAATATTCTTTTTCTTAACTCTATTTACAGTATGCTAACTTATCTTTTTTTATCAAATATTTGTATAGGGTGAATTTGCATTCTGACTTAGATGTTTGATCAAATTATTCATGTGAACTAAGAAAGATGGAGTTTGTAGCAGACGAGATATTTTCTGCATAAATATGTATCTACAAGCAGTACTTTGTATTCGCCTTGATGAGATTCTTAAAGCCGACCCCTTTTTCATTTCTGGTCCCGTTAAGAATTCTAGTTAATTTCCTCGTGTTTTCCATCTTGTCGAAAGAGGTCCCTTTTGTTAGTACTTAGAGGCGCGTCCGTAAATAATTTCAGGGGTTTTTGGAATAATTTGGCCATTGTTTTTACTGTAAACCTTCTAAGTACCCGACTGTTTTGTGTTTAAGACGGTCTCCAGACAATGTTGACCTCGTCCAAGGTTTTTACCAGACCTTTAAGCCATAAGATTTGGAGACAACGTGTCTGCCTTCTCATTAAGGAATTCTTTGTAAATGAAGCGTCCCCAATCTTCCAGGTCACGTTTGTAATTAACGTTGCTTGAGTTTGTGAACAACATTAATTTGTAAATACCGATGTGCTTATATATATTTCTTTACAAATAATTTTGTTAATAGGAAAATTATTGAAATTGAGTTCGTTAGGTTTCATCTCAATTTGTAAATGAATGAGCTTTAATATTTGATCATGTCTTAAACATTTACGAGTATGTATATTGAAATCGCCTAATTAGCTCGTTATAAAAAAGGACAGGTCAAATTTTCTTCTCACAAAGCGAAATCTCCAGCGAATTTCAAGTGCTCTGCGTTGATGATATCAGATCTCCTTATTATCCCCAATTTAGCCCACGTCATATGAATTGTGTGTTCCCATTATTTATTCACAGATTTGCTCGTAAGTGTTTCGGGACACCTCGGCTAACAGATGGCACATCCGAGTTTTTGCTTCAAGTGGATTTCTCACGATACGCCTTTTTTGCTCACATTTTTTGCGGCCCTTATTTTTTAGCCGAGGAAGTAGCTTCGTATTTTGATTGTATCGTTAATGGGAGTCGTTGGGACTTTTATTGGCCTTTTCACCTTCGCTTTTGTTTCATTTCTGAATTCCATCGAAAGTGTTTTCCATTTTACTTTTAATGTATTTTTTATCGTGCCTCAAATGCTCAGCTCCCAAATCCTGGATCCGATCTAGTCAAGAGTAACTTTCTGTCAGTCGTTGATCGCTAGCAATGATTCATCCTTGTAAACGAGCAACCAATATGCAAAAAAAAAACATTCAGTTTTGTTCAACCCTAAAACAAAACAAAAATAGTCACATAATATCTTCCTCTTTTATTGTATCTCGGCTTCCGAATCCATAATGCGCTCTCATACATAACATTACCGAATTCGTTCTTTAAAATACTTGACCTTGGCCTCAACTCTTTACATAATGGCTAAGCCGATTACGGTGTCGCCGTTTCATTATAATATTCCGTAATTAAATTCCGTGTTTGCATAGAAATGGTTTTTATCATTGTTTTTTAGTCTGCCCCTATGTTGTTGCCCTCGTTATCTTTTATTTATTGTTCTATTTGATCTTCCTTTTTTTCTTGCAGTGTAGAAACTTGTTTTGGTTCGGTTTGAAGGCGTTATGTTTGAAGAGTGGAGTTTTTGATATTGTTGGTATTTGATGTCGGAAGGGATTCTTCACATACAAATATCGTAGACGTTTGGATGTGAAAAAGTTCTACTTTGTGAAAATTTGTATTTGTACTTTTAACACTCAAAATATTATTGATTTTGTTGATTGATTTCATCAATCACTTAATACTTAATATGTATTTTCTATTCAGTAATTGCTTTAGTTTTGCATTAATCACGTCTGCACATTTATGCAACATCGTCCTACGCGTTTTGGGTCAAAGTTTAAACCGAGAACAAACAGTTACTCAACTTGGTTACCAAATTTTATCCTTCATTAACATCTAAATGAAATACCGGATATAAATCGAATTACCTTCATTAGCATGATGCCATGAATCGGATGAGTCGATGTTTGAAGAAACTTAGTGGTCTACCAAATTCAGATGACATAATCGATTCAAAAAATAACATTCCAGATTTCTGTAACAGATTGTCTAATGGATATTAATTCGTTATCGACCATTATACTTTAAGTTGTTCAATCGATATCAAATCTAGATCGACAATTATTGCAAAAAAATGAGAATTCTAATATCTAGGTGTTTGTGAATAACACCTAATAGGGCAATTTCGTTTATAGCTCGATTTTATGAGACCGTTGACTCATAGAGCGGCGCCAAACTGTGACTAGTGGGTATGTTAATAAGGTGAATACCACTACTATTTGTTCGCTGCGACTTTCCGAAACACCGGAACGAGTTATGACGTCCACCTCGTTATCTGTGCTTGTTTTTGTTACGTCAATGGTAGTGGTTGTTACACCGGAAATCGTACCTGTTTATTGGCCGCATCCTTGTTACTACATCTTTGTTTTTTTTCTGTTTCATAATATATTGCTATCTGTCTCTTTTTTATATCAACCCCGCATTGTTTCTGTGTACTAATGCGATTATTTTCTCTTTGTTGCAGAATTTTATAAAGTGATGAACCAACGACATTGAACAAATATGCATCTCCAGATAGTCATAGCTTTAAGTGCTATCCTTTATGTGATGCCAAACTGCCAAGGTTTAAGCAGTACGCGCAGCCAAATGAGTTACCAGCGAACCATTACACTCACAAGCTTTAGGGCAGCTACAAGCCCAATCTAAAACAGAAAAAACTAGTCGAATAGTTGACCAATATAGAGTGAGACATCGGAGAGAGTATTCGATTCAAATTCGTTTGAATCGAGTTTGACATGGGCACATTCGGAGAGACTGGATCAGAATGGCGACGTGATTATTCGATGGGTGAATACTGACTCGAGCATAACCTTCAGATTGGAGGCTAAAACTCTTGGCTACGTCGGTTTGGGTTTCAATTCGGCGAGGAATATGAGAGGTGCGGATCTGGTGGTCGCTTGGGTGGATGACAGGAATGGCATCGCGCAAATTTTGGTGAGTTTTGAACTTTTAATCAAGATTATAAACAGCTGTTACCTCATTCTCACGGTACAGGGTGGTCTGTTGTAAAACACGGGAATTATGTACCGGTAGCGTGTGAATTAATTAAATCGAAATAATTTGATGACGATTTGAGATAGGGACATGTTTGTGTTTGGAAATTAATGATTCGTAATTTATCTTGCGTTTATCTCTATTAAGTGACGGAGATCAAACTGTATAAGACTTATTCGAACGACTTTAGAAAATGTATGTCGCATAAACTAAAGATTTGCTTCTGAATTTTTTAAGGTTATTAAGCTTCATAGTCTACATTTACAAGAGAGGGTTAATCCTCTCTTTTCCTTTCTAATTAAAACTAACGAAGTATAAAATATTCTCTAAAAACATCCAATATTTTAATTGGATCGTAACTCAATTGTGTTTTTCAGTTCTACACGAATATTATATGTTCATTAATTAGCACATGACTGTCTTTGAGTAAAATTATCTATTGTACGTCTTTTATTTTCTTTACTTTATTTTAACTTTGATTAAAGTTATGTAACGTTTACTTGGCAAACATAATTACTGTTTTTAAACTAGACGTAGAAGTAGTTCTTGAAACTTTTTTGGCGTGTTTTACAAAATTCGTTTTGTTTTTTCTATTTGTCTTTCTTTCACGGATCGGCCAATTAGAGCGAATTTTTGGAAGATAAAAAACAAAGCGTTTTTGCTTATGAACGCTACGGAAAAAATGCGCAAGCTTTTTCGTTTCCTAAACTACCATGGTCGTAGAAAACTGAGTTAGAAGTTAGACACAAGAATTCTTTTGGTTTAGAAATCCCCTGGTGTAATGAGAGGTCAGTGAAAATATATTTGTTGCCATAAAGTAGTTACTCTAAAATTACAATCGTGGTATTGGCAAAAAGATTTATGAGAATGAAAATTAGCGATAGGCTACATTAGCATACTTCCTTTAGATTATAAAATACGAAAATAAAATTTATCTTGTGTTCAAGTATTTGGAGACAATTATGACTGTTTTTTTTTCTTTTATAACTGTATGGGAATTCCTAGTATAATGGCACCCAGTCAGGAATTGACATACACACATAGCATAGACTCATATCTGTGCAATATTTTAGACCATTCAGTCCATGTAACTCATTGTATCTACAGTTCTGAACCACATATTACTATAACAGATACTTTATGTTCCATAACTGTATGGTGGTTGCATGTTGTGGAGAAAAGCGTAACTGTTACATATCCATTTAATGTTTAACGGTAACTCTGCAATGATTGAGTTGTGGCGTTTGTAAAATTGCTGTGGATAAAGTAAACTGTTTTGCGATACGTATCATTCAAGTTATCGGCACGCAAGTCAGTGATTGGGGACAGTTTTGTAGTCATAGGATAATGATGGCGGTTGAAGATGAAATTTCTAATCCCACCAAAAACATTCTGTAAAAAACTAGCCAAGTCTCGATGGAGCTGCTAGTTTATCTCTAAAAAGTAATGGAATATAACAAAGTCGTGTCAAGTCTAAGGTTTCTTGTTGCGATTTCCTTATTATTAAGGTTAATGTTGTGTGACTTTGGCGTTGAAGGGTACACAAGGGTACAAAACCAGGTGCTATGTTATTGTATTGTTGGTAGATTTGTACCTGATTAAGTCATAGTCCACTATAGATTACAAGGCTCCTCTACATAGGATGGTTCAGGTTGGGCAAGCGGGTTCAAGAACGCAGTTTAGGAGGTTTAGTTTATCAAAGAGTGATGATTGATTGAAATATGTAGTCTTTTAGTTCACTCTTATTACATTCGTAACATGATCAGAGTTGGTAGAATTATATTTAATCTTTTCGGAGTTAATCGGAGTATTTGTCAATTGAGCTCATTCCTTTACAAGTCAATTACATAGTCAAAAAAAGAAACTGACAGCATTATCACAAAAACATCAACAATCAGATATAAAAACGCAGAAATACCAAAACGTTTACCACAACGTTACACGAAACCGAAACGTAAACTAGGAAGGTTTTAGTTTTTCTCTAGAAACAATGGTTTGCGGTTTTCGATAGACGTGTCAACGTCCTGACTACCAAACCATGACGGTTGCCATCTCCTGACTTCGAACTAAACGTGAGATGATTTGATAATCCAATGGTAAGCGAATTAACTCTAAATTGGACTAGTTTGGTTGCAAATGCGATTGCTGCAGTTCGATTCTCGTGTTGGTTAAACGTTTTTCGGTTTAACTCGTCGAGTACCGGTTTTATAGACACAATTAAAGAACAATAGGTCGCGGTCACCGGTGACCGCTTGGTGTTTGACAGTTTAAGAAAATTGCTATTACGGAGTCGGTTCGATTTTCGGTTTGGTTAAAAACTTGTTTTAGGATACTGTAGAGTGAGAAATATGGAATAGTATCCGACTGCTGACAGAGGGGTCTTTATCTTCCCGGTCGGGCATTTAGGACTATTATGGAAGGTCTTAATACTAGTAGCGGTTAGTACGGCAGTGCAACGAATTGTAAATACACAATTCATAATGCTATATTTTTTCACCCCTGCCTATCCCCTTACAATATTATGTCAAACGGTAACCCAAAGCATTTAAGTTGTTTAGTAGTCACTTAACGTTATTAATTTATTAAGCTTTGGGAATCAGTTTAACGGAGTTTTGAATAATTAATGCGATTGCCATTATTATTGAGATTGATTGATATTCTGACGAAAGGCAATTGATTTCGATGTTTGAATTGTTGTGTTTAATGTCTTTTTTTGATTAACCCCTACTTTCTTCGAACGCTTTTTTTTAATGGATGGGCCGACGTTTGACCACTGTCTCGTCTGGTGGTAAGCTATGCTGCGGTCTACGATGGAGCACGTCGTCCCATAAGTAACCTATTCACTCGGGCCTTGAAAACACCTAGGTTATACCGACCGACCAGAACCAGACCCGAGCGTACGGCGCGTCGCGTTCCGCGCGCGCCACCAAAAGTCATCAGACCACCACGGACGGAGCCAATAGGGCCAATGCCGATTCGGAGTTGCGGAGAACCTAACGGGTTACCGGGGCTCCGGCTCGACGTGCAGGAGAAGGAACGGGGTGGTTTTTAGTCAGTAAGAGTCTGACACTCCCTCTCGCCTCACCCAGGTGGGAGCAGTCATTCGATGATTTTCCCCTTAAAAAAATACCTTTTAGGAAATACAGGTCGGTTAAAAATTTACGTAAAATATTAGCTTAATAGATTGCAAATACGACTGTTGATCAAGGAGTTACGAAATCAATGCTCATGTTGACAAAATGTTACCACTTCTACGGTGCATTCGATCCGTTACGATATTTTCTTATACGGTTCAACGAAAATACCTACATACAGACATACATACATTAACTCACGCCTGTCTCCCATGGGGATAGACAGAGACTGAAACGCCAATTGCTACGATTCTCACATACCTCTTTCGCTTCCTCAACAGGCATCTTTTCATGCTTGTCGGTTAAGGGTACATTCAACGAAAATTTTCAAGCTAATCTTACTTCTTGTCGCGGAGAACCTAACGGGTTACCGGGACTCCTCGACGTGCAGGAGAAGGAACGGGGTGGTTTTTAGTCAGTAAGAGTCTGACACTCCTCCCGCCTCACCCAGGCGGGAGCAGCCATTCGATGATTATCGCCCCTTAAAAAAAAACTTCTTAGATTTGTTTGTTCGTTTCCTTCATGATTATAAATTAAGAAGATAACTATGCAGTAAGTACTCTTTATTTATGACTCCGAGGAATAACAGAGGCGTAACATTTTGTCACAATTTAAACTATTGGACGTGGAATGAATCTTTCATGTCCATTGATTGTGTGCCAAGTTTTTAGCATTGAATAGTTTTGCCTTACAATATTATTAAGTGACTAAGTATGTTCGTATGTGTTGTCTAAACTACAGACATAAATTAACTTATATACACCATGGAATCCTTATTAAAATTGAAAATACGAGAGTTTGTCTGTCTTTCGTCTGTGTGGGTTGTGGGTTAGGTTATAAGAAAGTCCAAATACTGGTCATAGGGTAGACCCTATGAGCAGGACCAGGAGTTGGAACTGGGCAGGTTCTTAATATTTAAGTCTGACACTGTGTGTCGCTTTAACCTGGAATAGTCATTCGATGATTTCCTCCCTCAAAAAAAGGTTAATGGTTATACATAAACATAACATCACGCCTTATATCTCCGAAGGGGAGAAGCAGAGGTGCACACAGAAGTAACACCCACTTTTCAGTATTATGAGTCCCATAATAAGGGGTGAGCCTATTGCCATATACCGGGCACAATTCCAGACTCCGTGCTACTACTGAGATTTGTTTAAAAACCCAGTAATACTTTGCCCGACCCGGGAATCGAACCCGAGACCCCTTGCCCGGCAGTCGCACTTGCGACCACTCTGACAACGAGGCAGTCGTAGGCCTAGAGGAATTGGCAGAGGCAGACTTAGTTCCTTTGCTCTGCTTATCTCGTACACACGGCCACACATCAATCTATACAAAACCAGTTTATCTTGGTGCCGCGTCGCATCATCTTCCCGCACATTTAACGTTCAGTTTATACTGGTTATGTAAAGCTCGATGTGTAGCCGTGTGTCGCACCCAAAACACTAAAGAGATCATAAAAAATAATGAAAGAACATGACGTAACAAATGCCAAATAAACGTTGACAAATACAAACAAATAGGTAATTAAACATACGTCTCAAAGTTCTCACACTCAATACGATAAACAAAATGATTTACCACGCGAATATCAAAAGACGTCTATGTACAGGCTGTATAAGAAAATGTGTATCAAATTTTTACGGATATGATTCGTTATGTGTGCACGTTTTAAATGAGCTAAATAAAAATAATCTTTCGTCTTTGTACATGTAGTAATAGTGTAGTAATAGTAAGTAGGGTGTTCCTTGTCTATGGTCCACAGATAATATTAGATATTATGTAATTCTATGATTTTAGTAAAAT